AAACATCTCTCTTTCTGCCATCTTGAGTCTTCATCCACCACCTCTACAGCATGCATTCCCTCTTTTGCTATTATTCCCACTGTCGCCTTTCTTAGCATCCTACTTTCTTTCCTTCCAATATACAGTAAAACCCAATACATTTATTCTCTAAACCTGTCCTGTTTAGAAACAGGTTCCCCCCCCTCCCGCCCCCACATTTTGTTACCTTTAACTTTCTGTAATGATTGGGAAGTATCTGAAAGAGCTAAACCAAAGCCAAATCAATATCTAGTACCACAATAAAGCAACAATTTCTCCACAGTTGAACTATTCAAAATATTGGACTTGGCAATTCTCACCTATTTTTAAATGATCGTGCTAACTGATATTTCTTTTCCACCGAAAAGATGGACAGAATTGCATAGTGCAATTCACTGGTAAACATCCCACCACGTAACTAAAGGGAATTTTGGACTTTTTTGGTCCCAGTGAACCATTCATTGTGTTAAGGGAGTCATTGTTTGCAGATTACCTGAAGCAAGGTTGTTTTGAACTTCACTTCATTGCAGCAAATTTCCATTTAATAGGGATCAACCCCAATACACGGATACTAAAGGGAGATGCTGGTTTAAGAACTGACACTCCACAGTTTCTGCTCAGAGCAGGTCTGCTGTGCTTGCTTGTGTTTTATCAATCCAGTTCCAATCATCAGTTTCTCAAAATTCAGCATAGAGACTAGAGGACTGTTTTCCTTAACAGCCAAGGCATCCAAGAACCAAACTAATGAGAGGTTTCATATAACGTACAGAAAAACGGTTTTCAATGACGAGGTATCAGTAATCACAGATCTAAAATAAAATGAGAGAGAGGGGAAATCAGAAGAAACCATTTCACAAATCAGAATTAAGGTACAGAACACTATCTGCAAGGGATGTGGATGCCATGATCCATGATCACAGGATGACAACAGGACATGAACTGGAAGAAAACCAATTTGCTGGGCACTAGAAAAATGTTTAGGTGAGGGACTAAATTGGATTGGTCTTTCACTGAGCTAGCACAGGCACAATGCATTGAATAGTGTCCTTCTCTGCTGCAAGATTCTATAATTCCTATTTTTTTGGATTGTTATCACAATACAGGATGGAGATGATATGATGGAAAATAGCACTCTAGCGACTGACTTATTCAATCCAGCACTTACCAAGATTTCTCGGGTGGGTACCTTGGAATCTGTGGCATGTCAGGCCTGACTGATGAAAATAGATTTCTGGGCATTCATATTTAAGTTAATGTTATCCATGTTAATATGCAACAGAAACTGGACCTAAAATATGACCCAATAGACAAAAGCTAAGCATAGTTTAGAGAAATTTCCAGTTACGAGATTGCCATTTGTTAGTGATGAAAGAAAAATCAGTACAGAAATGGGTGAGAAAAGTCTGGTACGGAAATAGTACTGCATTTTGTTTTTTAGTATGTTCCATGCGATCTTATGATCCATCCAATCTTATGATCTGCCACAACTTTCCACATTACATGCTTTTTCATAAAATTTGATACTATTTTTAATCTTTACAGTTAACCACAGATAGTAGACCTGTCCTTGGAATTTTTCTTGCTTGTTGAAATGTATCTACATTGTGTGAATTGAAACATCCCCTTATTGCTGATGACCTATCCTTTAACCTCACTGGCCAATTCACTTCAGCCAGCACTGCCTCCGTGCTCTCCTTTTTTAAAGCATCTCAAACCATTCCCCTCCACTCTGTTAAATAGAATGCAAAAATTTCAATCATATGATTACTTTTACTAATGGTGCCTTCACTTCACCAATTTATTAATCCTATCTTGTTGCATCTGTTCAAACTTTAGGCTGCATTGTCAGGAAACATGGTAAAGAAAAGCTTCCAAAACTGAGGAGCTCAACAGGCTTTAAACAGATTTTGCTAAATCGTGTGTGTTGTTTGAAAAACCATATTGAAAAGTCAGGCATTCACAAATTTCCCAGGAGTTTCAGCTTAGAGGGTAGAGAGCAAAATGTCCGCATGAACAAGCATTCAACTAACATACCTCACGAAAAGTAAGTAATATTTGCAACCACGAGAAACATTGTCACTGATTCAAGATGACATTAAGTGGGAAGTACAAGACAGAAGCTCAACAGCATTGAACTATATGTATTGTTTCACTAAGTCTGTCTTTAACAACCCTACATTAATTCTAAGCACTGAATTACCCCAAAGCAGTACAATATTAACAGCTACACATTGAATTACTCGTGAGCAGCATTATATTAATGCAAATTAAATTACCCCAAACAAAGTGCAATGATGATAATGACCCATTAATTAACTCAACAGAATACTAATGCTGGATCAAGAAATTAGCCCCACAGCAGCACAAAATTCATGCTGATTCACTACATTAGCCCAAGTGCAGCATACTAATGGTGGCTTGAGTAATTAACCTGACAGTAGCAGGCAGTGGGGTAGAATTCACTAGCATGTGCAATATGGGCAATGAATACCATAGACTAAACTGAACTCTGCATCTCTGAAGAGACATTTTTGCTCAAAGAATATTTGGAATTGGCCACAGAGATCACTGTCTGGGTTGGGAACAGAGCAGCCAAAGTTTGACACTAATATATGGTTCCAGGGCTCAGCATATAATTAATAAGTCTTTTTTATAACATTACAACACCATATTTCCTTTTTTCATATATCGACTGGGCTGTTTTTCTCCTCACGTTCTAATGAATGAATCCTCTTTGCGCATGATCAATTTTCATTGGTAGGACAATGAAGCCCACAAGCCGAAAGGAGCAGTAGACTAAATCTAAAACTGCCTGATGCAGGAAGTTAAAATAGTAGGGAACACTTGGTTACCAGACTGGAGGAAGAAGTACTGTCATATCCACCAATCAGTATTAGGACCACTGTGCCAACATACGTTAAATGATCCAGACCGGGCTATACAGTGCATATTTTTAAATTTTGTAGATAACACAATGTTTGAACACGTAAACAGAAAGGAGACTAGCAGCAAGTTTCAGGAGGGCATTCTGCTCACTGGAAAGCAAGCAGACAAGAGGCAGGTGAAATCTTCTGCTCAAGTGTTTGATTATGATATAGCTTCAAAACAGAGGCGGGCGGGGCGGGGGGGGAACAAAAAAAAAAGGTGATGCAGACTGTTTGTGATGTTTACAGACAATGGGAAGCCAGCCAGGAGAGCGTTCAGCAAGTCAAGCTTTGAGATGACAACGCGACAGTGATGGAGCGGGAGCAAACATTTCACAGAGGTATAAGCAGGCAGGTATTACGATACAGAGAATATGGGGTTAGAATTTCAGTCTGAAGTCAAAAAGGACAAGGCCCAACCAGAGACAACCGCTGGTATGTGGAACATAGTTTATGGGGATCGTGACTTCAATCTGCATGTTTCCAAACAGTGTACTTTCATGTGATGAGTGATGCATTTTTACAATACATTAGCAATTTCACATACGAGGACTGGTAAGACTGTCATACGCAGTCTATGCAAGGAGAAACAATGGGCCACACAGCCAGGAAGATGACTGTACTGATAAATGAGAGGCCATTACTATTAGGCTCTTGACCAAACCTCCATTGCGCCAATCTAACTATGAAGATGCTATTCTTAAAAATTTGAATTCACAGGTAGAATGCGTAGTTTGTCCTTTGGATTTAGGTACATTCAAGCTGAAACTATTGGGAATTCTACACCAATTTTTCAAACCTCATTGCAAGAAAGGGGTCTAGCCTTTTCTCAATGTTCCTCGCATTCTCTCCTCCTTTCCCCCTTTTTTGTTTTGCTGCTTAAGGTAATGAAAAACAGAAGCAAATCCAATTCAGTGGGCACTTACAAACTAATCACAATTTCAAAAGGCACTCAAATGACATTAGAAATTACAAAAAATGAAATAGACTTTACAGTCACTTTAAGCCAAAGACTGGATTACAGCCTTAAAATGGTTCCCTTCTACTGTTTAAGAGACTTCTCTTGGAGTAGTTTTCCATACGGTGACGGTGTGCCCTACGTTGTTGGATATTAAAAGATTGTTGAGAGGAACCACGAGCAAAGGATGACAAGCTGCATTACGTCAGATAGCAAAATGGTTTCAAACATGTTTAATGTTAAACAAATAGCAAGGCAGAGAGTTAGGCCCCTTAAGGAACAGGCAGGGTAAGCTGCTCACTGAAGCAAAGGATATCACAGAGGTACTAAATGAATATTTTGCTTCTGTCTTTACCAAATTAGAAGATGGTGATAATGGCCTAGTTGAAAATGTGGGTATTGAGCAACTGCGCAGTATAATGATAATGATAATGAAGAGGTGCTAAAAAGACTGGCTGCACTCCAGGTAGAGGAACCACCAGGTTCAGATGGGATGCATCCCAGATTGCTAAGAGAGGTAAGGGAGCAAATAACAGAACAATTGACAGAACTTTTCTAGGCTTTTCTGAACAAAGAATTAGTCCCAGGGGGCTGGAGGATTGCAAATGTGACACCACGGTTTAAGACAGGAGCAAAGGATAAACCAGGAAACTACAGATGTCAGATTGACATCAATAATGAGAAAACTGATAGAGGCTATAATACAGGATAAAATAAATATACACAGAAAAATAAATTAATACTAGACAGTCCACATGGCTTTGTCAAGGGCAGGTCATGCCTGATCAGGTCAGTTCTTTGACAAGGTGCCACAGGCAGTGGATGAGGGTAGCGCTGTGGATGTTGTATATTTGGACGTGCAGAAAGCATTTGAAATGGTGCCACATGGCAGGATGGTTAGCAAATTAGAAATGTTTGGGATTAATGGCTCCTTGGTGGCAAGGATTAGAAACTGGCTAAAAGATAGGCATCTCCCAGATTGGAGACAAGTTTGAAAGTGGTGTTCCCTGGGGATTGATGTTGGGACCCTCACCTTTTCTGATTTCTATAAATAATTTGATGGGTGATGAGGTACAATCTCTAAATTTGCAGATGATACTATGCTAGGGAGCATAGTGAATTGTGAAGATGACACTGAGCGACTTCAGAGCGACATGTTGGCCAAGTATGCAGACACGTGGCAGATGAATTTCAAAGCAGAAAAATTAGAGGTAATTCAGTTTGGTAGAAGAAACACAGAGGCAATACAGGCTCAATGGTATTGACGGGAGTACAGAAGCAACAGGACCTCAGGGTTCTCATGAATGATTCTCTGGAGGTAGCCAGGCAAGTTGAAATAGTAGTTAATAAGGCTTAAAGGATCCTTGGGTTTATAAATACAGAGTATAAAGGCAAGAAAGTGATGCAACACCTCTACAAGTCATTGGTCAGACCACATTTGGAGTAGTGTTCAGTTCAATGCACCTTATTTAAGGTAGGACGTTAAAGCCCTGGAGAGAATTCAATGATTTGGTTGAATGAGACCAGGAATGAGGGATTTTAAACACAAAGAAAGACTGGAGAAATTGGGCATATTCTCCTTGGAGCAGAGAAGATTAAGAGGTGACCTTATTGAGGTGTTCAAAATTATGTACAATTTAAGACAGGGTAGAGGAGAATATTCTGTTTCCACTAGTTGGTTTATCAATAACTAAGGGACACAATTTCCAGATCATCAGCAAGACAGTTAGGAGTGAGGAGGAAGAGAAAGTTCTTTAGTCAGACTTGTTAGGATTGATGAAGGTGGATTCCATATAAGGTTTCAAAAGAAAGCTGGATACATAGGTTTGAAAATGACCAGTTCAGAGGGCTACAGAGATAGGGCTGAAGAATGGGACTAGCCAAGTAGTTTTTTCAGGAACTAATACAGACACAATGGATTGAATGGCCTCCTTCTGTATTATAAGCCTCTATCATTCAATAATTTTTATAATAAATAACCATCATACTCAACTGATTTGCAGGAAATTGCACTTAAACAAGATATAGGCTTAGACTAAATTAGTTAGATATGGTTTTTCCACTTAGATATTTTTGAGTTGCAAGTTGTTAAAATAAAGCTGGGTGGACAATGGAAAAATTAGTTACCTGACAACTAAAAAGATCTACCACTAGATGGCGAAGCAATCCAATGTTTATTTAAAATCTCAAGTCTTGGAAGTACCTAACCACTATGGTACAGGAAACATGTAGATATTCATTTTCTTACCTCAACAGCTAAATTTACATAACATTAAAAAGGCACCATGACCTTTTCATACAGTAGATCAGCCAAATATTACAAATAGCCAAAACAAGTAGTCCAACTAAAATATGGATTTTACCTAGAATTGAGACATCATGGGAAAAATGCTTTGTAATGACAGTTTTAAGTTGACAATTTATGGAGGTACAGTTGCCCAGTGGCCTGTGAGACTTAACATACGCATGGGTTTGCAGAGCCCCAACCTATACTTTAATTCAGATTTAAACATTTTGCAGAGGACATCAGTTTACTACATAAAAGGAGCCAAAGGCAGTAAATCAGCAATGCAAAATGCTGTTGAATTCAAATGCAGGTGATTAATGGCATACTGTAGGCTAGGGAAATCGTGTAATAAAAGATGTTACATTTGGAAACCATTATACACCCATGGGGCATAAAGCAATAAATATCCCTGGCCTCTACTGCACTGATGTTACACCTTAGCAACAACAACTGACTAAGTATGCAACCTTCAGGTCAGCATAGATTAAAAGATGAACAAAGGGATCACCAATATTAGTTGTAGAAGTGTGTCATTCTTCAACAATAAACTCAAACCTAATACTTGGTGTCACAAATCTCCATTCAGAGTCAAATAAAATTTAAAAGCGAGTTAGAATTTAACAACATGGAATTGAACTCAATGCTGGATGTTAAAACAAATATATAATGACTTGAAATTCTCTATATGGTCATATAGGACGTGAACATCACCAGCAATTCCATCATTTACTGCTCATTCCTATATGCCCTCAAGAAAGTGGTGAGTTATTTCCTGAACCACCGCAGTCCATATGGTATTAGTATATCCAGTGTTGTTAAGGGAGAAGTTTCAAGTTTTTGGTCCATCAATAATTAAGGAACAATGATATATTCCCAAGTCAGGATGGTGTGGGGGTTGCAGAGAGACTTGCAAGTGGTGGTATTTCAAAGCATCTGCTGCTCTCATTCTTCAAGACTGCAGCGGGCATGGCAGGGGAAGGTGCTGTCGAAGGAGCCTTAATGAGATACTGCACTACATCAAACTGGAGACGCGGAACTTGATTGTAGTGCACAAAGTCAACTTAAACGTGTGCAAGCTTCAAAGATGTAGATAGACTCCAGATCTAGGTTCAGGGAAGGACAGAAGGTGGTCAATCTGGTGGTTCTCCAATGCTTGTGAGTTTGTCAGTAGATTTTCTAGCTAACTACATGCATGTATATAATAAACTCTCACAACGAAACAGTGCATCTTCCTAATTATTATTCTCAACAAACTCCGGGGAAGGTTTCAAAGAAATAAAGCAGGCAGCCATGTTATGTTTCAGTGCAAAGATGGTAGGTCCAAACATTTGCAGCTCATGGAAAAACACCCGATGGCAATGAGACAAAACTACACTCGATAGTAGGAATAAGAAGTTCTCAGATCCACAATGCTTGAGGCACTAACCAGTTGGGTCAAATAGACCAGGAAAATCTCAACGTTCATCTCCATTGTGTGCCGAGCCAGCTAATTTAATTTGGTATGACAAGTAGGAAAGCTATGATTAGCCTCAATGCCTTAGTTAGCAAAGGAGGAAACATAAGCCAGGATTTCCTTGAAGCTGTCCATATGCACAGCGGAAAGGTCCAGGATGGAATGCTTTGTTGACATTCCTTACAAGACTTCCCATCAAACTAGTTTCAATTTTCACATGAAACTTTGCCACTGAAGGACCTATAGAAACTAAATCCGGAAAGGAGCGACACCTTCAGAATAGTAGAATAAAACTCTCGAATTAAACACATATAAACATGAGGATTGAAACTGGCCGCAGAATACGAATTAACATGCATGCAGGTGGCCCATCGTACAGTGAGAAATGGGAGCATTACCATAAAGTTTAAAATACCTTACAGGTACATCAACCTCGCAGTGCCCACAACTGTCAACTGTGTTAATCATCAATACGACATGAACAGCACAGAAAGGAAAATAATTGAAAAACGTTTGTTGGGGAAGGGTATCTGGCAGCATACCCAGTTTGCTAGACTTTCTTCTGAGCCTTCAACAAATGAATTTTATACTGTAAAGTACAGCAAATCTTTCAAAGAAAATGGAGGGCATGGAGGATTTGGAGCCTTGATGAACGATTGGACCTGTAGTCCAATCTCTCGACCTTCATTCAACAATTGGCTCCTGCTTTTAAGATCCTATTGCAAAACAAATTTTCCAGATGTGCAGTGATTCAATTCACAGCAAATCTCTTTCAGGACACAAAGTACCAAGTTATTTAACACCAATAACAATGCCTGTATGAAACTTGCTATTATTTTCCCAGCAGACTATGGATCTATATTTAGTTAAAGTTCTTAGAATTTAAATTTGAATGATTGTAGATATGACATTTGAACAAATGGGTCCCTTTAGATTTCATGGAATTGTTCCCTTAGATAAAAGTGATTTGAGCCTGAGATATTTTGGAATATTGTACTTGGTAAAATTTAGCTTTTACCAAGTTATAAGCCCTAATTTGAGTGACATATTTCTGCAACAAATGAAATCACCATTAAGCCTGCAAGAATGGATGTTACCCATTTGAGCATTTTAAGCATCATTGACAAAAAAATCTTTCAAATGGACAACGGCATAATCATATTATTATTGCTAGGCTATTAATCCAGAGACCCAGGTAATATTACGGGGACCGAAGTTCAAATCCCAACATCTGCCACGGTGGAAGTTGAAATCCATTTCTAAAAAGTCTGGTATCAACAGTCTACTGAGGACTGCGAAACCGTTGCCAACTGTCGAGGAAAACCCCATCTGGTTCACTAATGTCCTTTGGGAAAGGAAACTGCTGTCCTTACCTGGTCTGTTTTGCATGTGACTCCAGACCAGTTGCATTGTGGTTGACTCAACATCCCTCTGGGCAATTGGGGAATAGGTAATGAATGCTCCCCTAGGCAAAAACGCCCACAATCCCATGAATGAATACAAAAAATTTCAAGATGTCCATGGTGGAACAAGAGTATTTCTTTCCAATAAGATCAAGGCATTCTACGTTGGCTACAAAAGAAAATTGGGGAGGTTGAGCTTAAAGATTAAGGAACAGCCAACTATAATCATTTTTTCATTTAACCTCCACATACAAGATGCAATTCTACCAAACAGAGACATGGGTAGGTCACGGTATCTGTTTTAATTTTAAAGCCGATGCAATTGTCAGGCTGTGAGAAGTGTGAATCACATGAACAAGTCATATCTCACTTGCCCTTACCATATGAACCTAAATGAAGTTTGATGGTGTATAACTTTGCAAATATTTTACAACATATGTTGGGACTTGGAAGGCATTAGCCATTTGGCCCAGAGTGCCTACACTGCCATTCAATAAGATCATAGTCCTGAATTGGGTATAGTCTCAACACTTGACTGCCTACCTCCATAATCCTAAATTCCCCTGTCTATCAAATCTCTAACTGCCTGGAATAAACTCAGCATTCCCAGTTTTAGCCAGTCTACCATGATGACCATGTCTTTAGTTACTTCAGCCCTCAGACCTAGTATTCTCTCGTTATTTTACCTTCTCTTGTAAAACTGACCTCACTGACCATGCTTGTTGTCATCTGACCTAATGTTGCCTTATGTGGATAATTATGATCAGTTTTACAAAGCTACTGTGAAACATTTTGGGACCTTTTATGTTTTATTATGATTGGTTATGCTTCCATTGTGTTATAGGCATTTGATGTGTGGATGCCACTCAGTCAGACTACATTCAAGACAGAGATTGATACATTTTTATGTACAAAGAAGTTAAAGGATGTGAGGATAATGTAGAAAGCTAAAGTTAAAGTAGATGATCAGCCATGAACTAATTGAATGGCAGACTGGGTCCAAAGGCTGAATTGTCTGCTTCAGTTCCTATTTATGTTCTGAAGACAAGCCGTATCAAACTCTAAAAC